AACTAGCTAGAACTACGCGGTGTAACTCGCTACTAACCCCTTCTAAGTTAGATTTATAAGCTCTTACTCTATAGTACGTTCCGCGTTAATGTCTTTAAATACCTATTATATTTTTTCCTTAAAATTCTCTATATTAGTAAATAGGGTCTAAGTCACTTCTTTCTAGTTTAAAGGAGAGTTTTCTAAGAAGTCCTTTAAGTAAGGTTGTACCCACTTAAATTCCCTTTCTTAGAGGTAGGTAATAATAAATATAACCTTATTTTCGGTCTAGAATTATTCCTAATTATACTAAATATATAGATTACTTTAGAGGAGGAACGAGTTAAGCTCGCCTTAGTCTCTATAGTATTCGTTAGGAGTCTTAACCTTAATTGGCTTTAGGGTAGGTGCCGGTATAGTATACCCTTATAGTCTAGTAGTAGATTCTATAGTAGATATATTAGTATATTAAATCTTAGGTGCTCTATAAAGATGGTGCTTAAAGTGTAATAAGGTATTATTATAAGATAATAAAGGTTACTATAATAGTTAGGGTCCTAATTAAGGAGATAGAGAATAGTGCTAAGATATAGTTAATAAGGTGAGGATTAATAATACGTAGTGAGATTAGAGTAAGTTATAAAGAATATTAGATTCTTATTTAAGTTAAGTACACCGTTCTAATAAACGAGAATAGTGCTGCCTATATACTATAATACCTTATACCGTAATCCCCTTAATTAGTGTAATCTATTCCTAATCACCCTAATCACACTAATTAGGCCTATCTTAGCATCTCAAGTAATTAGTCCCTTACGTGATGCTTGGTACTAATTACTTTTTATTCCGCGTTATCTGTTGCGGTTCGTAACAAATATATATTATAAATAATTAAATCATATACTATACTTGTACTTTAGAATTACTATATACGCTATTTTAGATTCTATTTGTATATGTACAAGTGTTAATACTATAAGCTAAAAATATGCTAGTTTTATTTATTTAAAGTATAAGTATTAATATAGTTATCTAATTACTCTATTAGAAAGTATGCTAATACTTCTTTTATAAATATCTTATCTATAATAAATGCCTAGATTCTAAAGAGAGAATATATTCTTTGCTATAATATCCGGCTTTAAATTCTTAAGTAGCTATTTAGCTAATAATATCTAGTACTCTAACTACTTTTCTTTAATTTCTAGCTTCTAGCTTATATCTTATACCCTTTTAAATAGTTCTATAAGCATCTTCTCTACCTTTAGTTCTTCTTTTACTATCTATTCTATAAGGTTTTTAACTAGTTTCTTTTAGTAGTCTATCTTAGTCTTCTAGTATATTGTCTTCTTTAAGCGTTCTATCTCTCTTGATTTAAATAAATATTAAATAGATAAGGATATTAGTATTAGTCTTTAGATAGCTTTATAAGAGAGATTATAGAATAGTAATAGAGATTTAAAAGCTATATAGGCGGCTAATTGTAATAGATACTATCTCTAGATAACAATACTATTACTAGAGATATAGTATAATTCTAATTAAGGGGCTAGAGATAGTGTAAGATATAATAGAATTAGATTAATATTACAAGTGATAATTAAGTATGTTATAAGAATACGAGATTCTTATTCTAAGTTAAGTATACTATTCTAAGGAACAAGAATAGTACTGCCTATATACTTAAGCTTATAGCTTATATTCTTATACCATGATTCTCTTAATACAGCCCTTCTTAGCAGAATTATCTATATCTACGGATAATTCCTTTAATATAACTCTTTTTAGCGGAATCATCTATATTATGTTACATGCTTTTCTAGGAAATATTATTTTCTAGAAACTACTAAGGGTTGTGACACTAATAACTAATATCTACTAGTAGCTACTAGATAGTAACTTCTAGAGTAAAGAAAGATTAGAAGTGGATATACTATTATTATACTTAGATATAGGCTTATAAACAAGATAAAACTAGTTTTTTTATATAGTAGTATTCTTTATAACTTATACTAATTTACTAGATAAGAGATTATTTACTATATACATTTTATCTTTTATATATAACAATGCATCTAAGGCTTCTATATAAAAGAAAAGAAGTTTGATTTACTATTCTCTACAAAAAGATACTAGAAAGATAAATTTAGAATCTTAAATATATATTTAGTACTAAGTAGCTATGTTATACAAGTAGCTGTATTATTATTATAATATAGAGACGCTAGATACTAGAACTTAATTGATTAGCTAGAATATAAGATACTATATAAAGATTGTTAGGAAAAATTTTTAGATACTTAGGACCGCTTGAAGTACTTAGAGTAAGCTTTAAGCGCTTAGAGCTTTCAAGGAACGCTTGCTTCTAATAAGCTACTTGCAAGCGGCTTGCAAGTAGAGTAAATACTTAGGTAAAAGCTTAGCGCTAAGCCTTATTTAGTAAGCAAGGAGAAAATTATAGAAAATGCTCTAAGTCTAATTTAACTAGTCGAATAGAGAAAGCTATATTAGATCTAGATTTAGGAGTAAACTTTCAATAAAAATAACTATTATCCGCTTAATTTTTAATTTATAGATATTGTAGCTCTTTTCATAAGAGAGTAAAAGTTAAGCTAGAAAGAAAACTTTAAGATTTTTTCGTAACTTATATTTTTTTATTACTTACTAAGTGATTTAAACCGCTCGGAGCGTATTGAATCTTTTGAATATTTTGAACTAGAATCGATTTTAAGCGATTTGCTAATAATAAAAAGATTTATAAGTCTAGTGGAAAGAAAACTCTTAGTATAGAAGCATGTGACTCTAGGATAATAAAATATCTAAATGCTAGAGAACACTAATACTAAACTATAACACTTAGAATAGATAAATCTATCCTATCTATAACTAGAAGCTCGTGCATTCTATAAATTTAAACACTAATTATATAGAGAAATAAATAGATGCAAGCAATTACATTACTATAACGCCTAGATATTTCAGCTAGATAACTTAGAAGCTGCTTATATAGAGTATACACTTAGAGAATCTTAAATAATTCTATAGTTATATTAAGTGGTTGTAATAGTAGATATATAGAGATTCTAGTTCTCTTCTACTAGGTTCTATTATCTTAACCATAATTTCTTTACGCGAGCTATATTATAACTAAAGACATATATATTACTAGCCTAAGACTTACTAGCATCATTAGAATCTATAGTAGTAATTATAAGTTACAGAGCTTCTTTTAAACTATTCTTTTAAGTCTACTAGCTATCTAGCTATATTTTTACCTTACTCTTACTCTTTTGCTATTTCTTTTAAAATTAATTGATATCTAGCTAGTGAAAAACTCTCGTATAGCTTTGCATCTTTTTGCTTATACTCTTTTAATGCTTACTAACCTTAAATTAAGAGTTCTACTACTTCTAAATAGTTATATTAGCCGGTGCCTGTATGCTAGCATAAAATAATAGATTAATCTTGCGCCGTTAAGATAAAGATATCTAAGAAAGACTTATATATATAGAGTTATATAGGCGCTCGATATTCTTATGCTTTATAGAAGCTTTTTAAAGCGTTTAAAGCTAAGTACTAGGCATCTAAGCTTGCTTAGATAGCTTATTAAGGATCTTCTTTAGATTAAATAGCTAAAGACCTGTTACTTGAAACGCGCTCTTAATTATTACTAATATAAACGCCTTCTCACGTGCTCTAGAATACTTGTTAAGAAAGATATTCTTATCTATTAACAAAATTCTATCGTAATAGAGCTTATCAATTAATATACTATAGTAATGCTTTAAAGATGTAAATATACTAATATCTAGTGGTTATAGTAAGTGTATATAGTAAGAAAAAAGGTAGAAGGGATATATCTAATACTCTTTAGCATATTTAATTATATTTAAGGCTATATAGAAGTTATAATTATTAAAGATAATTATTCGCTATACTCTACTAATATTCTTACTCGCTATCTCTTAGTTAAACGCTATTAACTAAGTAAGACTAAGATTTTAATTGGTTAAGCTATTTGGTAAGTAGCTATACTACTAACTAGCGCGTAGATTATTAGCATTTCGCTAGTACTAGGCAGTCTAATACTAAGTATCTTTGAAGATTACTAGTAGCTACGATGTAGAGCTATCTATATATATGGATTCAACGAAAGTAATAAGCTTTCTATTATCTAGCTACCTTATCGACTTATAAAAGAATTGCTAAGATATAATAAATTATATAGTAAAAGCGTTGTTAATAAGAACTCTTGTCTTATATATATTCGATAGTCTTGTCTAATTAATCTTATATTTCTTAGTAGTAGTAAGATAGTCTTCAAAGAACTAATATACTATCTCTTTATTATTATCACTAAAGACACGGTCTATCTTAATCTTATAATTATATACTATCTTTAACGCGTTGCATATAATAAATCGAGTGAGCTATTATTTACCTAATACTCGATTACTAAGCTATCTAGTAACTAAGTAAGTATAGATAAGCTTGATTAGCTAATTCCACTTATATATTTACTATAGCTATTATACTATCTCTTACTCTTGCTATAATAATAGTAACTGTAGTTCTTAATATTATTAAAACGTGATTCGCGGCTATAGAGGCAATCGGACAGTATAGTGAGCGTAATTGATTATGCGGCGGCTATATAGTGGCTGCGCGGCGAATTGATAGATAAATGCCATCTTAGTAGTCTTATATAGTATTTTAGATACGTGTCTCACTCGATTTATAGCGTTGTAGAGGCATAGTAGCGTGATTAGTGGCTATACTAAGATTTTGATTGAGGCTTTGATAGTATTCGACTTCACGGGGTGCACAGGCCCTCGATCATGGACAGTATTAGCAAGTAACTTAGTGCTATAGTAATCGAATCGTAGTACTCGAGCTGCGCAAGTCGATCCGCGTGTCTTACAATCTTTCCTAGCCTCGCAGAGGTGAATATCCATCTATAGAACCGACTAAATGCGCCAGTAAAGAAGCTGCGGGAAGTCGCGTAGAGATGCAAGGTGAGATTATCTTAACTCTGCGCCTCCCCACGTGACAGCGCGCTTACTTGTAGTCCAGGGCTTTAGCGGACGGCACTCCGGGGGTTCCGGCGGGGGCGGCGGCGTAAACGCAGCGTTATCAACCCACGCAAAGCTATCCGGCGCCGCGCGGTTGTGGAAGGACATTAGGCTGCTAAGGGGTTCCTCGTCAGCGCTGTTGACGCCTTTGCTACGCGATGCGGGACAGCTGTGGCTGGTCTTGCGGCGGCGGATAAGAGAGAGGAGGAAGGCGAGGAGGTTGGCGCGGAAGAGGAAGAGGAGCGTTAGGAGGAGGGCGGTGGCGGCTATGCTACCAACGGCGATACCGGCGATCATGCCGGTGGAGAGGGCGCCGGGTTTAGAGGTCGGTTTAGGGGCAGGGGTGGGTGAGGCGGTTAAGGATGCCAGTCTGGCGGAGGCACTGGAGGGCGTCAGCGGACCCTCTCGCAGGCTTCACCATCGTATACTTACCCTCCGACGACGGCGGCCACGCCTACGTATCCGCTCTACAGAACCTCGCCGATGTACACCCCCCCCTCCCTCCCTTCTTTCCCTCCACCGCGCATATACTCCCGAGCAGCTCGCTCAGAGTGTCTACAAGTTTCTCTCTCCTCAATGAACCGCATACTATGCGACCAGCGATGGCCGCGAGAAGAATAACACCGCTCACCCAGCCCAGCACTACGAGGACCTAAGGCTCTACACCAATGCTGCTAAGAATCGCGAGTTCTATAAGAACATCAGGGCTGGACAGGCGCGAGCCGACAGGTGCTTTAGAAGAGTTGAAGCAGAACGCCCTTACTTGACCTGGGATAGGAGCACAAGCCTCGGGATGAACGAAGCTTCAAAGCTTATGTAGAGTATCCCAACGCTCAGTCGATCGACAAGCTCAACATACTCGACAGCCTCCACCCCAGCCTGCACCTCGACATACTCCAACGACTCTATAACACCCTCACCCTCACCCTCACCTTCACCTCCACCTCCGCCTTTAACCCTCATCATTTTCTCTCTTCCTTCCACGCCATCCAATCTTCCGCGTTTTTTCAGCGCTTTATCTCTTTTCTACATCGTGGCCTTTGTAGAAGCCCGCCTCACAACGATAGGCGCCTGAGCTAGTGTACCGTCTACTTTATCTTGCAACTCAAAAAGCAACCACCGCACCAGGACGGGATCAGCGCGGTCGGTGACTTAATATTTCGCACGCAGCCGCAGCCTACTGAACTCCAGGCATTCCTAGACATCGACTCGACGCAGCTAAATAGGCACACTGCGTGCATTACTAAGCTACATGACAAGACTGCTGATGAAAAGTCTTGAAGCGTGGAGAAGCCTGGAATTTGTCCGTGGAGCAGGTTTGAGGTTTACTTTGATAATACGATAAAGAAGCAGGATAAGGTCGTCGACTATGCTGCGGAAGTCCTCACGCGGCTAGGCTTCGCGCGAATCTTAATGATCGTCTTTGTTGCCATCCTTCTATTCCAGACGCCCAATCTTATACAACACTACAGAACCTCACACAGTGACACCACTACAGCCAAGGCGACGATGGACGAGTGGGCGCAGGTGTCGACTATACCAAGCCTTATAGCCGTTGCCTTCATCCTAGAGAGGAGACATCTCACTGTACACCTCTTCTATACCCACGATTGTGATCCTAAGTATAAGCCACCCGGCTTTAAAGCGAGCTAGAACACTAGATACGTTTCTCTGAGGATGGTGTATAGTAAAAGACAACTTAAAGCTCTTACGGCCGCTAATATTCGTAGCCCTCCTCGCTCTTGCGGCAGCGCTAGCGGTTGCAGCCCTTCTTGCTCTTATGGCGGCGCTCCTTGCTTTTGCATCAGCGCTGGCAGCGCGGCTTCGTGATTATAGCCGTGCTGCGGACGGTATAAGAAGGGGCTAGAGTGCGGGCGGAGGATTCTACTCCTTTTTAAAAGCTATAGATTAAGCGCGCTATAGGTACCGCGAAGGGGTATCGCTAAGTAGAAGTATAGTAGTATTATCTAACATTAGACGATATGGAGGTAAAGTTAGAATATTCGTCTCTTTTTATAAAGCTTAAGCTATTTTATAAGGCGTGAGCATTCTTTATAGTTTCCACTCTATCTTACTTTAGTTCTATTAATCTAACCGCTCTCAGTCCGGTTCCTCTTAGAAAGAAGCATTTTACTAACTACACTATCAATATAATTGATATTAGTAAGTATAGAACGTTTCGGCTCGCTATTAAGGACGAGAGTAAGGTACGTTTTCTAATATACTTTTCTATTAGCCTATTAAAGAGCGGCGATAAAGCCTATTAAGAAAAAGCAACTGGCTAGACCTAATAGGGCTTAGCTCCACCTCTTATTCCGCTACTCCTACTACTAGCACTACCGAGTGTGCTAGAAGCAGAATCCATGCATGCGTCAGCCGCAAGTACACTAATGCGGCTGTGCCTCACAAGTTGGAGGCGCCTGAGGCCAAGGCGAGCTTAAGCCAAATCTTTGATGTTGGCTGGGCTAGCACTATCATTAAGAAGACATAATATTGTTTGCAAAAGACATGTACTGCGCGATTGCTTAAGAGCGTGAATTCAACCTCAAATTTCCAAATTGGCGGAAACAATACCAGACCTCCACGAGTTCTCCGCGAACGAACAGCAAATTGAGTTCACGGAAGGTATCCTCTCTTTCCGGGTCCCGCCGTTTGCGCCATTGCGTCAAGTTCTCCTACATCTCTCGCGTATTATCACGCGCAAACCCCCAAATTCTGGGCCCATGCATAAGTATTGAACTCTGACCACTCGGCCTTCATCAGCCATTTCCCATCGCGCTTGACGGTGTGCATAACATTGTTACCGCGGATAGGTAGTGGACCTATGTTGAACGTGCCATCTGGCTCTAGCACCCACCGGAAGCTTATCTTCGTGCAGGTGTGGAAGATGTCCTCTAGGATGAACCAATTTGGACTGCCTTCAGGATACACGGGGGGGTCCACGAAATGATTCTGAATGAATTCGTCGCGGCTCGCAGATACTGGACTGCCGAGAGCTTTCTTCCGTAGTGTTAGTGTTCGACCGAGCCTATTTCTCCCGCATCTCTACCAATGCGTAAGCTCAGAGAAAATGACTTACTGAGCCATTCAGGTAAAGCGAGATGTAGCTGTCGGAATAGTCGTGGAAGTCCGGTGCCATATACTTTTCGACAAGCCGAGGATCCAATCGAATGTAGAAGTATTTGAAAGTATCAGCGAGGAAGCGGGCTTCATTGTCGGTCAGGCAGTCGCGATCATGCCTATCTTCTTCATGGTCGTCTCCCTCGTGGTAGTTTCTGGTATTATCAGGAGATGGCAGCGCGAGCATACCACTCAAAAGAAGGGCAAGAAGGACGAAGATCGAGTTAAAGATAACCATGGCGAATGACTTCTCTTGCCGCAATTCTTGTGACCCTTACATATAATGGCTGTGGAAGGACGATTAGGAGGATCAAAATCAAATATCGAAGGCCTCTGCGCACTATGTAGGACGCATCATGAGGGATCCGAGCACCTCCCTCCGCCTGAGACTCTAAGCTGAATCCACATTCCACATCAACTAGAGAAGCTTCAGCCGACCGTTGGTAGCGGGAAAACTGCATTCACTGGGAGCATTTGAATTTGCGTCCGCCACCAACACTAGCGAATCTTACATTAGGATTCAGATCGGCAGGTCCCTCCTCGAAGCTCAGACCATATGCGTCACGCAGCTAAGATGTCGAGCCAAGGTCTGACAGCGCCAGGGTCTTAAGGATGACGAGTAGTCCCGCCGCAGTAGAGCTGAAAAGCTCCCCGAGCCATCCGGACGCTGCATCGCACCTGGGAAAGCAATTTGTGAGGTTTCAAGGCCTCATCAGCTGAAAGCGGCCGGCTCAAGGAAGCTTTAAGAGAACATCGCAATCGTCATTTCGGCGAAGATCTGAATTGCTAGAAAGCCACGAACTTGTCATTCCAGTACACGATCGTTCTTCAAGATACTACGCCTGCCAGCTCTGAGGGTAACGACTGCACACAAAAGGAAGCGAGGCAGAAGTTACGGATTTTGGTTACGAGCTTAGTTCATGACAGCCTTTTTGCTGTTGTAGCCGACAGACCGGCCGTGTCGATATCTCCAAAAGTGCACTAGAGCTTCTAAGAGAACGTCAAATAAAGCAGCGCAATCGAGAAAGCGAGGAATACCTGACTCTCGGCGCCCAAGAAGGCATTCAAGACGAAAGCCACCGTATTACTGCATCTCGTAGGCTTATAGACCTTCCGAACCAGTAGTCACCTGGTCTTGCATGTAGTAACACTTTATTGGAAAAGGTTCCTGCCACTAGGCTTTTAGAATAACTTATACTTAATATAACTTAGTTCTACAATCATATAAATCTAATAGCAATATATTATAATAGTAAGCTTATTACAAATATATTATCTACATAAGTATTATAACTACTAATAAACATATTGTTACTAAATTGAACTTATAGTATAAAGATTAGAATTCTAATTAAATGAGAAGAGAATAGTATTAGAATATAGTTAATAAGATAAGAATTAATATTACAAGTAAAATTAAATTGAATTATACAGAATACTAGATTTATATTTAAGTATATTACAATTACATTATATAGTAGCTTGCTCGATTCAAACTATTTAAGCTTAAATACTATATGTTTTAGTCGATGCAATAGTGTGATGGGCAAGTTCTATAGCTCTAATAATTACTTAAAAATAAGAATATTAATATCTATATACCACCAAATTGTCTTATTTTGAAATTTAAATTAGTAAAATTTTAAATACTTAGAGAATTAGCACTAGTTCTAGATAATTAAAATACGCTAAACGCTTACTAAGCGCTTAGAGTACTTAGAATATCTAAAATAGCTATAATATCTAGAATATCAAAATACTTAGAGTATCTAAAATAGTAAATACTACTTAGTAAGTAGCTTGGTAGATAAATGCTTTAGAGCTTTCTTCTAATTAACTTTCACCTTCTAGTAGAAAGAGCTATAATATTTATATTTCCAAAAATCAAGCAATTAATAGTTATTTATATTAGAAGTAAATTTTTTAAGCTAGCTTCTATTATAATCTTTCTATTATACTAGTTAAACTAGACTTAAAAATTTTTTTAATTTTTTACCTACTAGTTAAGTGGTACTAAGTACGCTTGTAAATAGATTACTTATTTATAAAGCACTTTATAAGTACTTTAAATAATTGAATATTTAAAACATTCTAAACGCTCTAAGTGCTTAGTATACCCTAAGTACTTACTATATTTTTACATATTTGCTAGCTACTCTCAAGAAATAAGACTTACTAAAAAGCTCTAAATGTTTAGAATCTACTCTAAGCGCTTATAGTGACTTGAAGAATACGTATCAATTTTTTAATACAAATAATTTATACTTGTTATAACTACTATAGTTATTATAGATAATTTTTAATTATACTACTTCTATTAATTGTACTCTTAGTATTACTATAATTAGTTCTTTGTATAATTCTTAGTACTAATTACTTTCATTCAATAGATTTAACTTTGAGTTGTAATATTTAAGAGTAGATATTAAATTTAAATAACTAAGTAAACTACTAAATGTATGTTTATATAATACTATCTATAGATTATAAAATCAAGTATACTATAGTAATAGTAGATAAACTAACAGATTTTAATAGATAAAATCTATTGCATTAAGTATTTAAATAATTGATAGAATAAAAACTTTTATTTCTATTAGAGCTATTTTAATTCTAATATACTAAAAGAAAGAAACTAATATCTTTAGTTTTTTTCTAGAAGCTTCTAATAAGAACACTTTTATTTTATTATCTTAATTCTTATAGTATTCTTCTTCTAGTACTGCTTGGCTTTAGACTCTAACTTTCTAGTATATAGTATCTTATCTATTCGATTTCTTTCTCTATATTATAATATAATATCAAGCTATAAGTTATCTTTATTATATATTAGCATTAATAAAGTGTTATATTTATTTAGTTATTTAAGATTATTCGAGAATAGAGACTTTCTAGATTAATATAGTAATATAGTAGTAGAGTATATATTAATAGAATAATATAGAAGAGATTATAAGAGATTAAATTCTATTAGGCTTCTATTATAAGTAAGCGATAGCTATATACTATTACTTAGCTAGTATATTACTAGTAACAATTGCTAAATTCTCTTTATATCTCAAAAAACTAGTATATGTAAAAGCTATATAGTAAAATTATTACTATTATTTTATATATTGATAAAAAAAATTGTTATACATAATGTATTAGATGCGGCTTTAAGGCTTTAGATATATAGAGCTTATATCTAGCTTGCAAGCTACTTGCAAGCTGCTTAAGATTTAGTTAATTACTCTAGATAGTTAGCATAATTAGTATACTCGAATTTCTTATACTTCTTATACTTCTTATATTTCTTAGAATACTTAGAGCTGCTAGGCTACTTAGTAAGTAGAACTTTTAAAATCACGAAAAGAGCTTCAAGTCTATTTATATTACAATCTTATAGAATAGAACTAGCATTGCTGGTATAAGGTTAAATAGTAACTAGTATAGGCTAGCTATTACGTAACTACGAGCCACTACTAGTAGAAGGGATTATATACTAAGAAATAAATAGTAGAGCTAGTAGAAGATAGTAATACTAGCACTACTAGCAACTATTAGCCTATAAATAGTACTAGATAGTATATAGAAGACATTATTCTTATTTATTAGAGTAATGTGCTTAATTTAGATAAGAATCTAGTATTCTTTATAATTTAATCTAATCTTACTACATGATATTAATTCTTATCTTATTAACTATATCTTAGCACTACTCTCTTTCTTCTTAATTAAAGGCTCTAATCTTTATAGTAACTTGTTACAAGCTCCCGCGGATTAGCTTGCATGTGATATAATTGTGATATAATGTAATTAGACTTAGTAAATAGGCGCGTTAGAGGTACTATACAAGGTAGCCTATAGTTAGTTACATTGAAATAGCTTAGAAAGAGCTTAGCGGGCATAGTATAAAGCACCTCGCTCTAGCTTATCTTAGAGAATAGCGGTTCGTGCTATTTAGAGACTTATAGTTGTATCTACTAGTATCTTTAGCCTATTCAATTCTTTCTTTTTAATATAACTTTTATTATTATAAGATAATTCTTATTACAATTTAGTTATACTATAATATAGCTTTACTACAATTACTACTATCTCTAGAGGAGACTCTAGTATATATATAAGAAACTTTTGAAAAAAATAATTATTAGTCGCTTAATTTTTAAAAATTAGATATTTTACTTCTTTTAGCTAAAGAGTGAAAGTTATATAAGAAAGAGAATTCTAAGAAATTTTGTTAACTAAACTACTTACTAAGTAGCTTGGTAGCTCTAAGTATTCTAAGAAGTATAAGAAATATAAAAAGAATAAGAAGTTTAAGTATACTAAATATATTGAGTATATAGAATATTTAGAGCTAGATTTAATAGATTAGATTTAGCTGCATCTAGCTTAGAATTAGATCTAATGTATTAGATTTAGCTATATATAACTTAGATCTAGTTATTCTACAAAATAAAACAATAATATAGTTATACTATATCTAAGTTATATATATTCTATATACATCTATAGTTTATATACTTGTAAGTATAAAGAAACTGAAATATTTTATCAAATTTTATAGAAGTAAATTAGAGTAAAATATACTTCTATTTTTTAATGATTTTTTGTATATATTAATCTAGTCTCTATAGTAAATTGAGATTTTATTAATATACTATGTACTTTAAAATAATAAATCTAATAATATTACTAGATATAATAGTTTATATAAATATAAAATCTTAGTAATCTTCTATATGAAATAAAAAGTAGTAAGCTATATATTTTATCTTTAATAGTATATTACAGTTTTATAATTGTATCTCTAAAGAAATATAGTATTATACAAGTATAAATATAAGTCTTACTACTTGATTCTTTTATATAAATTATAGTAGTGAGAAAATCGATTTTTGTAAAGTATATTACGAAATCTTTTCAGCATTTCAAGCGTTTAAAGCTACTAAGTAAATCGTATTTCTTTAAAGTAACTTATAAACGCATCGAAGCGCTCTAAATACTCTAAGTACTTAGAATATCTAGAATATTTAAAATCGTAAGCTTTACTCAGTAAATCACTTAGTCGAGAGTTTAATAAGTATCTGAAAATTATAATAATACTTTAAACCTTATTTATAGCGTATAATAGAAAGAATAATAGAGCTAGCTTAGAGAATAAATTCTTTAGAAAAATAATTATTAACTACTTAATTTCTAATACTATAGATATGATTTTTCTACTAGAAAGTAAAATTTAAATGCAAAGAA